TAATTGTTGGATTTTAGACTCCATAGTTTTAAGTGGATCTCCCAGGGGAGAAGGTGCAGGAACCAAGGGAGAATTATAAGGAGGCGGCCACAAAAGAGGAGATTTAGTTACTGCTGCAACAAGAGGCGGATCATAACGTTTAGCCTCATATTTAGCAGCCTCCTCATCAAGCTCATCCCAGTCAACTTCTGATGAGTCAGAGTCAGAAGCAGATCCTACTAGCCCAGGTTTGTGGCCAGAGGAAGGAATTGGCTTTGGTGTCACATTATCATCCTCTAAAGAAATTAGATCAACCTCCCCTTTGTGAGAGGATGCAACATCAGACTTAGAGCTGGCCCGTAAAATTTTTTCAGTTTGGGCAACTGTCTCAGAAATCTCAGGAGACCCTTCTCTATTTTGAATCATATCACGAATTAAATTCCAATAGGAAAAGGCGGTTACAGGAACTTTTTCAGGGCCAAATGTTTCATAATAATCTTGCAAAGCATCACCAACCCTAACCCATTTTTTTATAATTTATAGTTCCTTCCTCAGGGAACCATGGACACAAGTTTCTAACAAAATCAAAAAATCTGAACAAATCACTTGTCTTAGCCTTTACCCCTCACGTCTTGAGTGCCTTTTGTAATTGCCTTACATACATTTCATGACAGCTTAATTCTTACCCCATATTCAGACACAATCACTAACCTCAGTAACAATGTAGCAGGTTCCTGCGAAGCCAAGGTTCCTTAATTTCGTGTGGCTGTCCCTTTTTTCTCCATGCCTTCTTCCTCATGGGATCCCCCGTATCTCAGGCCCCACGTTTGGGTGCCAAAAATGTCCCAACCCACGGGATATTCAACGCAGACCCTGGAGGGGGGAGTGGGAATGGGAAAGGAGCAAGAGACACAAGAGATGGGAGACAAGACAGTATTCTGATCAAGTCTTGTTTATTGGTTCTTAGGTTACATCTTATATAGGAAAAAGCAGGCATATTGTAAAGAGTCAGGAATGCAGGAATATGATAAGATCTTAAGAGAAAGCAAGGACAAGACATCCCTGATGTAAAACAGCCCCCAACCTTTACAGGAAAGCAGAAACTTGAAAAGAAATGAAAGGTCACTCTTGAGTAGACTTGCATAGCCAGGAACACAGTGCTCCAGGCACAAACAGATTATGAGGCAGATATCCTGTAAGCACAGACATCTGGTACAAGCAGATTGTCACGTGGGCTTGGTCGCACAGGAATGGGTGCAGGGCCATAGGCACACAAGAAGGGGTGTGGGGCTACAGGCTCCCGACACCAAACCAGCTTACAGACCTATATTGCCAATGTGAAGTTGAAAATCCCATCAGTATTTTCAGGAAAAAATAGCATGGCAAATGAGAAATGTGGGCTCACTGCCAGGTTGCCAGGTATAGTCAAAGCATAGATAAATATAGTCCATATCCACCTCAGTTCCTTCCTTTATAAAACCAGCAGAATGATAGAAAACATTTCAAAAAGCATTTTCGGTATTAAGTACAGTCACACATGTAAAGCAACAACGACACTCCTGATATGATAAGCACTTTGCTTTAACTAATATCTAATTCTTATTCCATTTTTTTTCCCAGGGAAAAACAAGACCAAAAGCAAACTAAGGTAATGAATACCAACTTTCCAGAAGATGATTAGGAGAGACCACATCAGCACTTGGTATGAAAAGGGCTTGAAATCTCAAGTTAGAATTCTTAGGCAAGGCTGAAAGAAAACTTACCAAAAATGGAAATTTCAGGACACTGTATAGGATGAATATGCACAAAGAAGTCACCAAGGGAGTTGCTAAAGAGGAAGTAATAGAAAAAAAAGAGCAGAGTTAGGGGTGCTTAAAATAGAAATGCAGCATTTGTTTTAGGAGAGAGCAACAGCCAGAAAATTTAAATTCAAAACATCTTCGTCTGGGGCCCACAATGACAGCTTAGTTCTGAGATCAGTGATTCTTCACAGACAAGAGGCTGCTCTGCTGAAGAGTCTTCCCAGGGACCCCTTCACATCCTTATTCCTCAGGCTGTAGATGAAGGGGTTCAGCATGGGGGTGACCACAGTGTACATCACAGAGGTAATTGAGCTCCTCTGGGAAGAATGGGTCACAGCAGAAGTTAGGTAGACCCCAAGTCCAGTTCTGCAAAGCAAGGAAACCACGGAGAGGGGAGACCCACTGGTGGAAAATGCTTTATTCTTGTCTGCAGTGAAGGACATTCGCATTAAGGAGAAGATAAACCTAGAGTAAGAGAAGAGGATCCCTGTGACGGGAAACACACCCACCAGTGCAGTTGCTACATACATAAAGATGTAATTGATGAGGGTATCAGAAAGGGCCACTTTGAGAAGTTGAGCCAGGTCACAGATGAAATGTGCAATCTCAGTGCCTGTAGAGAAGGTCAGCCTAATCATCAGAACAATGTGAACAAGGGCGACCCAGGAAATGATGAACCAAGACACCAGAACAAACAGGACACAGAGGTGGGGGTTCATTATGACCATGTAGTGCAGGGCATGGCAGATGGCCATGTACCAGTCATAGGCCAGAATGGTCAGAAGGAAATTATCCAGTCCAGAAAACATCATCATAAAATACATGTTTGTGATGCACTCTATGTAGGATATACCTCTGCTGTGTACCTGGATGTTCGCCAGCATCTTTGGGACCATGGTGGAGCTGAAACAGATGTCAGCAAAGGACAGGTTGGAGAGGAAGAAGTACATGGGGGTGTGGAGGTGGGAGTCTGAGATGATGGCCAGGACGATGAGCAGGTTCCTAAGTGCAGTGACCAGATACATGGACAGGAACAATCCAGAGAGAAGAGGCTGGAGTTCAAGATCCTCTGAGAAGCTCAGGAGGAGGAATTTTGATAGTTGTGTGTGGTTTTCTGCTTTTATGTACCTGTGGTTTCTGTTGGGGAAGGAGGAAAAAGCAACATTCAATGAACAGGCAACTGACACATTAGCTAATGATCACTATACAATGTCACCATTGTATGAACATTCTTCACCCTCTATTGAGTTCTTCCATTGATGGTGATTTGATTAGCCTGATTGTATCCTATTTTCATTTAAAAAGTGTATAATCATTCAGACTTTCTTTAATTTAAAAGAAATCTGTCTCTTTTCTTCATCTACTCAGAAGGTTTAATTGTCCTGTTTGACTCTATGGACATAAACAAATTTCTTCTTTGATATGACCTTTCCAAAATACTTGAAGACACTTCATGTCTTTTCCTTAATAATTCCCATACTTTCTCTGTTCTACTAGCGCTAAAGTAGTAATAAAAACAAGGATTTTCAAATCAGACAACATTTGCTCTGTGTCCTGTTTCTTCCTAGTGATGGGAAAGTTAACTCTCGGTACCTCATTTTTTTTTCTTTCTAAATGTGTAAGCTTTTGTGAGGTTCAGCAATGCCTTTGTGCACAGTTGGAGTCTCAGCAAATGAAAGCTGCCATTATTACTGTTATTAAATTTAACCTTTTATGATAATTATTTTGGACATAAAACTCTCTCAAAGTACAGTGTAGAGCTATGATTTAAAAACAGGTTCTTGGGTCAGACTTCCCAGAATAGAATTTTGATACAACAACTTACTGCTGCATGACCTTGTGAAAGTTATTTAAACTCTATTAGTAGTGAAGTCAAGTGAGATGAGGCATGTGATTTTTCTACTGTGGTCCCTGTGACATATAATGGACATATCATAATGTGAACTTTTGTTCTTCATATCACAATACACATGTCTTGTATGGTTATCATTTATCAATATCCCTTATAAATGGGGCAGCCATCAAGGGTGGAATAAATACAACATGTCTTTTACCTCTTTGAACTGTCATACAGCACTTGAAATTAACAAAGATCCCTATTGCACCTTCTTTCTCAGAATGCCTGCAGGGTGAATTCTTCCAAGAAGAGAAAAAAGCATGTGGACTTCATGCATGAAAAGAAGAAACAAAAATACACCAGCATTAAAATAAAAACAAGAGGTATGTGACAGCATGTGCTGATGGGTCCATAGTGTCAAGTTTAATTGTATTGCTCTAAAATCAATAGCTAATTGCCAAAATAGTCGTGATGGATTTGATTAAAAATATTCAGAGCTTATCTAAATAAAATCATCCTAGAAAAATGAAAAAACAAATTTTAAAATCAATGTTTACATTCTCTGTGATAGAAAGGGGATCAGTATTATTAACACTAGAGAATGTTAATTAATTAAAGACACAATATAATCATAGAGAGCAATTTAATATTGGAATATGAATATTTGAGTTGAGACAGGAAGAATGGGTCATTGTTAATCATGGGAAGTAAAAAATGTATAACCATTCTAGACTGAGAGAACAGAATGCTAATCTGCATATGGCTCTGTGAACTTGGTGATGGAGAGGACTAGAGAGGGCAGAGGTTGAGGGTCAGGAGGGACAGAGTGTGTGAGTCCCACATTAGAGCATATTGTACTCTTTCTTGATGTGTCCATTATGTTCAAAAATTTATGTTTACATATGGATCTGAGATTGTGACTGTTTTGTGTCTCATCACTTTTCTTTCCTCGGACTTACAGGGTATCTGGCACAGAAAAGGTGCTCAACTAATACAAATGTTTGGTGTAAAAGCAAGTTTATGTCAACAAGTGACAACTAGAACATGAAAGAGAAAATTTCAAGCTCATCACCTGCCTGAACAGACACTCAATTGGATAGTAAAGTAAAATAAAATACATTGATATCTGTTTTTAAAATAATATGTGGTGAACTAGTAATACCAATTCTAGGAAGGGGAAGATGGTTTAATATTGGGATATATGTTAACACAGTTCATCACAGCAAGAGGTAAATGAATAGAAATCATAAGCAGAATTGCAATACAACAAAATGCACTGAAAATATTTAACAGCAGTGACCTTGGTTAGCAGACTCAGAAAAGATTCTTGGGACATGTAGAAACCAGAGGTACCTTCTTAACCCAATAAAGAATTGTTGTATGAAAACCACAGAAAGCAGGATATTTTACATCAAAATATGACAACATTTGTGTAAAATTCATGAATAGGCCAAGGCAGTCCACTCCAACATTAACCTTTTGATATTCTCCTGAACATTTAAATAGATTAGTCAGATAAGAAAAGGAAATTGGCTTGTGTACCATACACCAGAAATAGTTATATTATTTGTATTGTACTGTGGACATTGAGATAAAACAACAACAACAATCATATAGAACTATTCAGTGATATCAGTAAGTCTGATCTGCAGCAAAAATAGTTAGGTGAAATATAAAAACAAATCCAATTACATTAAGAAGAAACTAGAGTGTACCTCATGCATAGTAGATCTGTGAGTAATTAACAAACAAACAATTGAATACAGGAAATCGAACAGCAACCTTCAATGGTTGCGAAATAACAGCGACCTTCAATGGCTGGGAAAGAGTGAAGAAAATATGGAGAAGATATTCCAAAAAATAACACACTCCAGGAATGGTCATTTCTAAATCTTATTACAGAGAGATATTGAAAGAGAGAGAGAGAGAGAGAGAGAGAGAGAGAGAGAGAGAGAGAGAGAGAGAGAGTGAGATCTGGGAAAGATTCATTTTAGCAGAAACTAAAGTCCCTTCAAGGTACAGGGACTTCACCTTCAGAGGCTAAAGAAATAAATATGTTACTGACCCAGGCTCATTATTCTAGAGGTTAAGGCCAGTACCCACTGTCCTCTTTTTGTCTTATCCCACCAGACCTCACTGGGACAGACCGACACTGTGTGACTGTTATCACAGAAGCTTTCTCTTCTCCTTGAAATGTTTCTGATAAAACCATTGGGTTTTCAGCAAGGCTGGATCAGAGAATATCAAGTCGGGGCAACGGGGGCCTCTTTGAAGTCTCTAGTATCTCGAGGGTTGAATTCTCAAAGCTCCTTTTATTAAGGAAATTCTTCTCGTGTCTTTCCACTCTAAAATGATCAAGCCTCATGTGGTACAAAGAAAATATCAGAATGGATGATTCTTTCAGTGTCTACATAGGCAGAAGTAGCCAAAATAAGAAATGGATCGAGTTAATATTAACCTGTAAAACAGCCAAAAGGAAAAAGAAACAGTGGAAGGAGGGAATGAAGGAAGTAAACAGGAAAGAAAGGGGGAAGTAAGAAAGGAAAAAAGAAAAGAAGGGAAAGAAGGGAAAGGAAAGAAGGGAGGGAGGGAGGAGGAAAGGAACATGAAGAACGAAACAACATCTCGAGATATCCTAGGCTGTATATCACAATGAAGCACACAAATCAACCAGCTTTCAAATTCAGTCTCCAGTTTTAATTTAAAATCACGTCACATTCTTATGAGAGTTAGGAGTGTGAGCTCACTGCCTGGTTACTAGGTTACAGTCCACATCAACGTCAGTCTCTTCCTTTGTAAAATGGGCTGATTCACAGAAAATATTTCAAAGATGTTTTTTCAGGATTAAATAATTCCATGTATGTAAAGCAACAAGCACAGTGCTGATATGGTAAGCACTTTGCCTTTAGTATTTTATAAATTTAATTCTAGTTATCCCAGTGAAAAACAAAACCACAACTAAACTAAGGTGAAGAAAATCTATGTTTGAGAGGATAATTTGGGGAAAGACCATGACAGCACTTGACCTTAATAGTGTCTTCAATCTGAAGTTTGAATTTTTAGGGATGGCTTTAAAATAACTTAAAAAGGTGGTACTTAAGGAGAGTGTGTGGTTATACACTCATAAAGCAATTACTGAGGGAGGTTATCAGACAACTAATACAAAAATAAATCAAAGCAAAGTCATAGGCAATTTCTCCCTCCCAAAGTCTTATTGGGGAGAACAAGAGCCAGAATACTTAAATTCACAAAATGGCCTTAGGAGTCCACATGTGCATCTCGTTCTGAGGCCAGTGATCCTTCACAGACAAGAGGCTGCTCTGCTGAGGAGTCTTCCCAGGGCCCCCTTCACGTCCTTGCTCCTCAGGCTGTAGATGAATGGATTCAGCATGGGGGTAACCACAGTGTACATAACTGAGGAAACTAAGCTACTTTGGGGAGAATGGGTCACAACAGAACTGAGATAGACCCCAAGTCCAGTTCCATAAAACAAGGAGACCACAGAGAGGTGAGACCCACAAGTGGAAAATGCTTTATACTTGCCTGCAGTGGAGGACATTTGCATTAAGGATGAGACAATCCTAGAGTAAGAGAAGAGGATCCCTGTGATGGGAAATACACCCAGCAGTGCAGTTGCTATGTACAAGAAGACATAATTAATGAGGATATCCGAGCGGGCTACCTTGAGAAGCTGAGCAAAGTCACAGAAGAAATGTGGAATCTCAGTTCCTGGAGAGAAGTTCAGCGCAATCATCAGTAGAATGTGAGCCAGGGCTACCCAGAAAATGATGAACCAAGACATCAGAACCAACAGGACACAGAAGCGAGGGTTCATGATGACTATATAGTGCAGGGGGTGGCAGATGGCCACGTACCGGTCATAGGCCATTACCATCAGTAGAAAATTATCTAGTCCACCAAACACGGTGAAAAAAAACATCTGAGTGAGGCACCCTATATAGGAGATGTCTTTGCTCTGTGCCTGGATGTTCACCAGCATCTTTGGGACTGTGGTGGAGGTGAAACAGATGTCAGCAAGGGACAGGTTGGAGAGGAAGAAGTACATGGGGGTGTGGAGGTGGGAGTCTGAAATTACGGCCAGGATGATGAGCAGGTTTCCGACCAATGTGACGAGGTACATGGACAGGAACAGTTCAAAGAGTTGTGGATCCTCTGAGAGGCCCTGCAGGAGAAATTCTGAAAGTTCTGTGTGGTTTTCTTCTTCCATGTAGGTGGGGTGTCTTTTGGTGAATTATGTAAAAGCAACATTCAATGAACAGCCAACAGGCACCTCATATAATCATGACTTAACAATGTCTCCCTTGGATGAATGTCCTTCCCCTCTATTGAGTCCTTCCATTGACAGTGATTCACTCAGCCAAGTTTTAGCCTATTTATATGTGAAAAGGTATAATTATTCAGACTTTCTTTAATTTAAAGGAAATATCTCAGTTTTTATCATCTACTCACTAGTGTTAATTGTCCCGTTTGAATCTGTGGACATACACAAATTTCTTCTTTGATATGACCTTTCCAAAAAACTTGAAGACGTTTCATGTCTTTTCCTATATAATTCCCATACTTTCTCTGTTCTAATAGCTCTACAGCAGTAATAAAGAGAAGGATTTTCAAGTTAAACAACCTTTATTCTGTAACATGTTGCTTCCTAGGTATGGAAAAGTCAACTCGCAGTTCCTTATTTTTTTCTTTCTAAAAATGTGGTTATTAGTGTTAATTTTTGTGAGATTCTGCAATGTCTTTGTGCACACTTGTAGTCTCAGCAAAAAAGCTGTAATTATTACTGTCATTAGCTTCACCTTTTATAATAAGTATTTTAGATATATAACTCTCCCAAGGTACAGTGTAGAGCTATAATACGGGTTCTAGGATCAGACTTCCTGGAATACACTTTTGATCCAACAACTCACTGCTGTATGACCTTGTGAAAGTTATTTAAACTTTCTTAGTCATGAAGGCAAAAGAGATGAGACATATGGTTTTTCTATGGTGGTTCCTGTGACGTATAATGGACATGTCATAAATGTGAACTTTTGTTCTTAATATCGCAGTAGACATGTCTTGCAAGGCTATCATTTATCAATATCCTTTATAAATCTGGCAGCCATCAAGGGGGGAATAATGATCATTATAAACACAACAGATCTGTTACCTCTTTGGACTGCCATACAGCACTTCACATTAACAAAGATCCCTATGGCTCCTTCTTTCACAGAACGTCGGCCAGGCAAATGCTTCCAAGAAGAGAAAAAAGCATGTGGACTACATGCATGAAAAGATGAAACAAAATACACCACCATTAAAATAAAAAGAAGAGGTATGTGAGAATGTGCACTCATGGGTCCATAGTGTCAAGTGGAAATGTATTGTACTAAAATCAATAGCTAATTGTCAAAATGTATGCAGTGGATTTGATTAAAAATATTGAGACCATATCTAATTGAAATCATCCTGTAAAAATTAAAAAGCAAATTTCAAAATGTTTACATTAGAAAGAGGATCACTATTAATAATATAGAATGTTAATTAAAGACAAAATATAATCATAGAGAAGCAATTTAATGTTGGAATATGAATATATTTGAGTTGAGACAGGAAGAATCAGTCATTATTAATCAGGGGAAGTAAAAAACGTATTAACATTCTAGACTGAGAGAACAGAATGCTAATCTGCATATGGCTCAGTGAGCTTGGTGATGGAGAGGACTAGAGAGGGCAGAGGTTGAGGGACAGGAGGGACAGAGTGTGTGAACCACACAGCAGAGCATGTTGTACTCTTTCTTGATGTGTCCCTCATGTTGATTAATTTCTGTTTCTTTGTGGATCTGAGATTGTGACTGTTTTATCTCATCACTCTTCTTTCCAGGGACTTAGAGAGTGTATGCCACAGAGAAGGTGCTCAAAAATACAAATGTTTGGTGTAAAAGATAGTCTGTGACCACAAGTGACAACTAGAACAGAAAAGAGAAATTTTCAAGCACATCACCTGCCTGAAAGTAGACACTGAGTTGGATAATTAAGTTAAACAAAATACATTTTCTATCTATTTTTAAAGGAATAAAATGTGATGAACTAGTAATACCTATTCTAGGAATGAGAAGATGGTTTAATATTGGGATATTTGTTGACACAGTTCATCACAACAAGAGGTCAATGGAGAAAAATCATAACTACAATTGCAATACAACAAAATGCACTTAACATTCAGGAGCTATGACTGTGGTAGCAGACTCAGAAAGGATTATCAGGACATATAGAAACTAGAGGTACCTTCTAACCCAAAAAAGAATGGGTGTATGAAAACCACAGCCAAGAGTATGTTTTACATTAAAATAGGACAACATTTGTGTACAATTCATGAATAGGCCAAGGCAGGCTACTCCAACATTAACCTTTTGATGTTCTCCTGAACATTTATATTTTTTTAATTTTAATATTTTTTTTAATTTTTATTTTGTCAATAGAATGGAATTCTCCTGAACATTTAAATTGATCAGTCAGACAAGAAAAGGACATTGGCCTGTGTACTAAACATCAGAAATAGTTATATTATTTGTATTATATTGTGGACATTGAAGTAAAAAACTATCAACAATATAGAACTGTTCAGTGATATCAATAAGTTTGATCTGCAGCAAAAATAGTTAGGTGAATTATAAAAGAAAATCCAATTCCATTAAGAAGAAACTAGAGAGTACCTCATGCATAGTAGATCTTCAGTGAGCAGTTAATAAATAAACAATGAAATACAGGAAATCTAACAGCAATCTACAATGGTTGGGAGAGAGTGAAGAGAATTTGGAAAAGACATTCCAAAAATACCACATTCCAGGAGTGGCCATTTATTTGTCTTGTTATAGACAGATATTCTACAAAGGAAGAAAGGAAGGAAGGAAGGAAGGAAGGAAGGAAGGAAAGGAAAGGAAGAAAGAGAGAAAGACAGAAAGAAAGAGTGATCAACAATGAGATATGGGAAAGTTTCATTTTAGCAGAAACCAAAGTCTCTTCAAAGTACAGGGACTTCACCTTCTTAGACTAAATAAATAAATATGGGACTGACCCAGGCTCATTATTCTAGATGTTAAGGCCAGTACCCACTTTCCTCTTTTTGTCTTACCACACACACCAGACCTCACTGGAACAAACTGACACTCTGTGACTGTTATCACAGAAGCTTTGTCTTCTCCATGAACTGTCTCTGATAAACACTTTAGGTTTTCAGCAAGGCTGGATCAGAGAATATCAGGTAGGGGCAACGAAGATGTGTTTAAAGTCTCTAGTGTCCCGTGGGTTGAATTCTCAAAGCTCCCTTATTAAGGGATTTGTTCTAGTATGTTTCCACTTTCCAAGTGATCGAGCTTCATGTGGTAGAAAGAAAATATCAGAATGGACTTTTTAAGTACGTTTTGTGTCTACAGAGGCAGTCATAGCCATAGTAAGAAAGAGAACAAGTTAATATTAGCCAGTAAAACAGCCAAAGGAAAAAGAAACAGTGCAAGGAGGGAATGAAGGAAGTAAAAAGGAAAGGAAGGAGGGAAGTAAGAAAGGAAGAAAGAAAAGAAGAATGGAGATGGACGGGAGGGAAGAAGATAGGAACACAAAGAATGAAACAAAATCTAGAGATATCCTAGGCTGTATATTACAAAGAACCATACAAATCAACCAGCTTTCAAATTCAGTCTCCAGTTTTAATTTAAAATCACATCACATTCTTATGAAAGTTAGGAGTGTGAGCTCACTGCCCGGTTACTAGGTTACAGTCCACATCAATGTGAGTCTCTTCCTCTGTAAAATGTGCTGATTGAGAGAAAATCTTTCAAAGATATTTTTTTCAGGATTAAATAATTTCATGTATGTAAAGCAACAAGCACAGTGCTGATATGGTAAGCACTTTGCCTTTAGTATTTTATAAATTTAATTCTAGTTATTCCAGTGAAAAACAAAACCACAACTAAAGTAAGGTGAGGAAAATCTATGTTTGAGAGGATAATTTGGGGAAAGACCATGACAGCACTTGACGTTAATAGTGCCTTCAATCTGAAGTTTGAGTTTTTAGGGATGGCTTTAAAATAACTTAAAAAGGTGGAACTTAAGAAGAGTGTATGGATATACTCTCAAAAAGCAATTACTGAGGGAGTTTATCAGACAAGTAATACAAAAATAAATCAAAGCAAAGTAACAGGCGATTTGTGAATAGAAATGAAGCATGTCTTATGGGGGAGAACAAGAGCCAGAATATTTAAATTCACAAAATTGCCTTAGGAGCCCACATGTGCATCTTGTTCTGAGGCCAGTGATGCTTCACAGACAAGAGGCTGCTCTGCTGAGGAGTCTTCCAAGGTCCCCTTCACATCCTTGCTCCTCAGGGTGTAGATGAAGGGGTTCAGCATGGGGGTGACCACAGTGTACATAACTGAGGAAACTGAGCTACTTTGGGGAGAATGGGTCACAGCAGAACTGAGATAGACCCCAAGTCCGGTTCCATAAAACAAGGAGACCACAGAGAGGTGAGACTCACAGGTGGAAAATGCTTTATACTTGCCTGCAGAGGAGGACATTTGCATTAAGGAGGAGACAATCCTAGAGTAAGAAAAGAGGATCCCTGTGATGGGAAACACACCCAACAGTGCAGGTGCTAGATACAAGAAGATGTAATTGATGAGGGTATCACAGTGGGCCACCTTGAGAAGCTGAACAAAGTCACAGAAGAAATGTGGAATCTCAGTGCTCATAGAGAAGGTCAGTCTCTTCATCAGTAGAATGTGAACTAGGGTGACCCACAGAATGATGACCCAAGACATCAGAATAAACAGGACACAGAGGCGAGGGTTCATGATGACCGTGTAGTGAAGGGGGTGGCAGATGGTCACATAATGGTCATAGGCCATTTCAGTCAGAAGGAAATTATCCAGTTCAGAAAACATCATAATAAAATATATCTGAGTGAGGCAGCTATGTAGGAGATGTCTTTGCTGTGTACCTCAATGTTCACCAGCATCTTTGGGAACGTGGTGGAGGTTAAACATATGTCAACACAGGACAGGCTGGAGAGAATGAAGTATATGGTGGTGTGGAGGTGGGAGTCAGAGGTGATGGTCAGGATGAAGAGCAGATTCCCACGCACTGTGACTGGGTACATGGATAGGAACAGTCAAAAGAGAAGTGGCTGCAGTTCAGCATCCTCTGAGAAGCCCAGGAGGAGTAATTCTG